ATTTTTTTTGATTCTGATCTTACAAGATTTTAAATTTCAGGATTTCACCATTCGAGATTTTAAGTTTTGGGATTATGATCAGCAGGCATATATATATATATATATATATATATATATATATATAAAAAGATAGATAGATACATAATGCCTATTTGCGCATCAGTTTTTTGTAATGGAGAATCGGATCAACCAGCCAAGAGACCCAGAGTTTGCTGCATGTGGTGCAATAAGCCCCAAGAGTTATGTCCTCTTCCACAATTGGCTGTTTAGAGAGCTCATTCGACTTACAGTAGGTGGTGCTGACAAAATTTGCATACGAATGATACTAGACAGGTATTAGCCAATAGTCAGTATGGATCTGGGACTGAAATAGCTATATAACACATGTTTTTACTCCCTTGGTCGGAAGTGCACTTAACATGGACAGTTGTGTGCAGTTACTTAGAAAACCCAGAGAAGACGAACACAAATGGTGAAGTGCAAGGTTGTGCTTTGGACATCTCGAAAACGCTATAATACTATAATAATATGATAATAGTAAGATTAACCTTTTGCCCTACAGGAGACATATGGCATGTATTGACTGAACAGCTTACCTGTCAGTTGAGATTTATAAAAATAAAACTGTTTTCAAGGAAAAAGGTTTCTCAAATCCACTAGCTGTTATTGCTCTTTCTAGTACTGATGTGAATTCCCTACCCACTAATAATTTGCTCAAGACAGTGTGGAAAGTTAACATCTTCATAATGTCATTATTTTCTTTTTGAGTTGCGTGGGCTATTCATTTTAGCTGTTTCCACTGTTGAAAGTCTTCAACTGATGTGGTTTCATTTATTTGATAAAGTTCTTTGTGATGCTGTAGTACCATTTTATGAGATTTGATGAAGGATAGTTTTCTTTAAGAACCATGGGTTCTGTTTGCTTGAAACCATTTTTTGTCATTGCTCCAAGAAATCAGTTGTATCTACTACAGTTAACAATTTGTGGAAAACTCTGCATTTCTTTAAAAAAAAACACCTTAAAATAAGATGTTTGTATCTTTTTTAAGTAAAATATAAAATTTCAGTAACTATAACGTATTTGCTTTTATTTTTCAGTCTTTCTTCTCCAGGCTCTTTTTACGAACACAAAGTTCAAATTTGGATTCATCTGTCAACAATACATTTTGCTAAATTATAAAAATCTTGCATGAGAAACATATATTTTGCCTTTCACCATTAACCCATTGGCTGAAGATTTGATCCAGACCAAAGGAATCATGAACAAAGAACAATCATTTGATTTTTCAAAAACATACTATACAATCTGATTTACACATAAATGGAAAAAAAAAATCACTTTTGTAACAGACAACAATCCAAAACACTCTTTGAAATTATGTCAAAATTACCCCAAGCCAAAAAAAAAGACCAAGGAATTCTGGAAATGATGACTTGGTCATCTCAATCTCCTGATCTCTCTTCTATTGAATTAGTATGGGATGAATTGGATTGGAGATTTCTAAAAGAATACACAAAGTGTGCTTTTTAAGTGCTTGAAGAATACTTAGGAAGCTCTGCCATCTACTTTTTTTTAAAAACAGTTGGAAAGAATGCCAAGAATTTGTAAAGGCGTAATTAAGGTATGTGGTGGTTTTATTGACGAAAACAAAATATGATGCTGTTGTATGATATATGTTATGGTTAAGCACTCATTTTTTGTTAGAATAAAACAATTACAATGTAATTAGTGAAATTTTATCTTTTATTCATAAAATACAAAAGTATCACATTTAAGGGTGTTTTTTAAAAAAATTCTGGGTGGTCCCCAAATTTTTGTCTGTAGTATATATATATATTGTTTTGAACAATAAAAAATATTAAAAAATTAAAATCTTCAGACACACTGGGTTATATATTAATATTCATTCGGTTTTATTATTTCAGTTAGATTCCTTGAATAATTTCGGCCAACATGGCCATCATCAGGAGAAAAAAATTGCTGCTTGCTGGTAGCAGTGAACTACAGAAATATATATATATATATATATATATATATATATATATATATATATATATATACACACAATGCTCTTCATTAAAAATAAATGAAGCACTATGGCTGTCTGGCGTTTGTTTACATTCGTAAAAATAATATGCTAGAATTTCCTTTTTCCTCAGGGGTAGAAACTCTGACTGATGCCAAATCAGTTAGGTTTTTTCACTTGAAACAATCAGATGTCTAGCCACACTGATGAGCTGTGATACAGCGAAACAGCCCTGTATTTGGATGACATTATATATATATATATATATATATATATATATATATATAATACTATTTATACATATATATAATACTATTTATATTACTTGAAGAAGGTTGGGGCAGACAATGGCGGAAACATTATGAATATGGCAATAAAGATGAGGCCAACAGTTTGAACAATGTAAATAGTGTAAATAGTTACAACACTTCATCTCAGAAATATAGATAGATGTTGAAGTTGAATATGGCAATAAAGATGAGGACAACAGTCTGAACAATGTAAATAGTGTAAATAGTTACAATACCTCATCTCAGAAATATAAACTGTGAATATGGCAATAAAGATGAGGACAACAGTCCGAACAATGTAAATAGTGTAAATAGTTACAATACTTCATCTCAGAAATATAGACTGTGAATATGGCAATAAAGATGAGGACAACAGTCCGAACAATGTAAATAGTGTAAATAGTTACAATACCTCATCTCAGAAATATGGACAGATGTTAATACTGTTTAATTTGTGCTATATATGGAGAAGAGTCATCAATATTGGGAATATTAGTGTTTGCAGATATGAAAAGTGTGAACTCTGGAATATAATATTAAACATGTTGCGATTAACTATTAAGTAAAGATTTTGAAACAGTCTTGTTCTAACAGCAATCAATTCTGAAAGAAAAATCGTGCTTCTTGGAATTACATCTGGAGAGAGATTGAGATCAAGTGTTTATCAGGTTTGAGTCAGTTATTTTTTTTTGTTTTGTTTTTTTGGCACTATCTGCTGTTTGTTTTATGCTTTGCCAAACTGAAGGAAATGCTATGAAGTCAGTTGCTCTGGTGGCACCTCCTGGCTTTTAGAAGAATCAAAGATTCAGCAAAAGGTCAAGAGTTTCAATCACTGGCATTGCATTCCTAGGTGAAAACTTAGATGATGTCCTGGAAAATCCTGACTTCTATGAAATGCATTTTCGCTAATTTTGTTTCTCATCCTGATAATGTTTTTGTAGTCAATTCGCAGACTTATGGGAGGGAGACCAAACCAATCATTTTATACATTTTTTCTTATTTTCATTCATTTTTTGTTTTTTTTTCCTTCTTTCTTTTCATTCATTTTTTATTTTTTTCCTTCTTTCTTTTCATTTATTTTTTGTTTTTTTTCCTTCTTTCTTTTCATTCATTTTTTGTTTTTTTTCCTTCTTTCTTTTCATTCATTTTTTTGTTTTTTTTCCTTCTTTCTTTTCATTCATTTTTTGTTTTTTTTCTTCTTTCTTTTCATTCATTTTTTGTTTTTTTCCTTCTTTCTTTTCATTCATTTTTTGTTTTTTTTCATTCATTTATTGCCTTCTTTTTTATTTTTTGTTTTACATTCAATTTTGCTTTCTTTTTTATTTTTTCTTTCTTTTTATTAATTTTTTGCTTTCTTTTTCTTTTTATTTTTTCATTCATTTTTTGCTTTCTTTTTTCTTTCTTTTCGATCATTTTTTTGCTTTCGTTTTTATTCTTTCTTCTTTTTCATTCATTTTTTGCTTGCTTTTTTCTTTTTCTTCCTTTCGTTCATTTTTTGCTTTATTTTTATATTTTCCTCCTTTTTCATTCATTTTTGCTTTCTTTTTTTGCTTTCTTTTCATTCATTTTTTGCTTTCTTTTTTATTTTTTCTTCTTTCTTTTAATTCATATTTTTGTTTTATTTTTATTTTTTTCTTCTTTTTGAATCATTTTTTGCTTTCTTTTATTTTTTCTTCTTTCTTTTCATTCATCTTTTTGCTTTCTTTTTTCTTCTTTCTTTTCATTCATCTTTTTGATTTCTTTTTTCTTCTTTTTTCATTCATTTTCTTTCTTTTTTATTTCTTATTTCCTGTCATCTTTTAGTAACAATTGCTTTCTGGTTTCGTTATTCGTTTCGACATTCATTTTTTGTCCTTTCTTCCTGATTTTCTTTTTACCTTCATTTTTATTTATACTATTTACATTGTTTGAACTGTTGTCCTCAGTTTTCATGACATTTCCTCAACACATGGCCCAGTGGATAAAAGCATTGGTTGAATCCAGTGACTTGACCTAAAGAGTTGTGAGTTCAATACTTGGCTACAGCTGAGGTGAACAAAATCTTGGAGAGTTGATTTAAAGGAAGATAACTGATGCTGAGACATCCGGAAAAGGCATGGCATGTGGAACTAGAACAATCTCCCCTGATGGACAAAATAAAGGGTTCATTTTAAAATTCTGATCACCTGAAGAAGGCTGGAGTGTACAATGGTTGAAATATCATGAATATAACAAAGATGAGGACAACAGTCTGAAGAATGTAATAATTTAAATAATAACAATACCTCATCTCAGAAATATAGAAAAACCCATTTTTCATTATAATTCCCAGATTCAAACACTTTCTAAAGTTACCTGTTTTTTAACAGCTTTGCTTGTTTTCTGATTTTTCTTCCTTCTTTTCTTTTACCTTGTTTTATTTTCTTTATTTCTTTATCTATTTTTGTTCCATTTTGTTTTATTTTCTTACTTCTTTATTTCTTTTATTTTTATTTTCTTTCTTTCTTCTTCTGTTTTTCTTCCATTTCTTTTCCTTTCTTTTATCATGTTTTATTTTGTTTGTTTCTTTATTTATTTCCTATCTTTGGTTTTATTTTCTTTCTTTCTTTCTTTCTTTCTTTCTTTCTTTCTTTCTTTCTTTCTTTTTTTTTTTTATTTTATTCTTCCTTTCTTCTATTTTTCATTCCTTTTTCCTTTCTTTTACCATGTTTTATTTTGTTTGTTTTTTCTTTCCCTTTCTTTCTTTCTTTCTCTCTTGCTTTCTTTCTTGCTTTCTTTCTTTCTTTTACTTTGTATTTTTTCTTTTAGCTTTCTTTTTCTTCTTTTTTTAGCTTCGTTTCTTTCTTTCTTTCTTTCTTTCTTTCTTTCTTCGAATGTTTTTTTCTTTTGTTCTTCCTTACTTCTGTTATTTTGTTTTTTCTTTCTTTTCTCTTTTGTTTCGTTTTCTTCTTTTTTACCTTGTGTTATTTTGTTTTCTTCTTTA